AAGAGCCTCCCTGCATGAGCGTGGCGGATGGAGCCTTCTACATAAAAGTTTTAATCATAAGAATAAGACGAACGTTCTTTGTGAGGAAGGGGTAGCGAGCACTTTGTTCCATGCGCGGCCCGCCAGCCACCCACGTTGCTGACGGTTCCAGGCGCTGCGATCTCAAAGCACGAAGAAACCTCATGCAAATATCTGGATTTGAAGGCGCCCCGCCCTTCATCCTCCTCCTCTTACTCCTCCTCCCTCCTCCTCTTCCTCCTCCTCCTCCTCCTCCTCCTCCTCCTCCTCCTCCTCCCCCTCCTCCTCCCCCTCCTCCTCCCCCTCCTCCCCTTCTCCTCCTCCTCCTCCCCCTCCTCCTCCACGATGAAGTGTTGAAGGCGCCCCGCCCTCCATCCGCGCGAGTGTTGAACACTCAAGGCGTATGGTCAGACATTCTGGGGGCGTCTCAACGGAAAATCCGATACTCGAACAACTCGCCATGGACACGTGCAAATGTCGACACATCATGGAGGAGTGGTGGTGGGTAATTCCCGAGCGAAATCAAGCAGGCCGCCCTACCAACACGCCGAGTGGTGCGGCGAGGAGAAACTGTGCACACGGAGAGAGGATGGGGGAAGAGGAGGGGGAGGCGGAGGAGGAGGAGGAGGAGGAGGAGGAGGAGGAGGAGGAGGAGGAGGAGAGGCGCATTCGAAGGGAACGGGGGGAGAGGAAGGAGGATAAGGGAGGACAGGAAGGGGGGCACGGGAAGGAGGAGAGATGATGGAGAAGCAGGATAAAGGGGTGCTTACAGGGCTGGGTGAGAAAAGGATGCGGGGGCTTTAGAAAAGAAATGGAGAGAAAGGAGAGGACGAGTAGGAACCGGATAAGAAGCCCGTGGCGATAGAGGGTAAAGATGGCTTCTAAGGAACTTAGTTTCTGGCGGATTCTGCGGGTCTCAGAGAAAAAGGGGAAAGGCGGAGAGGAAGAGGAGGAGGAGGAGGAGGAGGAGGAGGAGGAGGAGGAGGAGGAGGAGGAGGAGGAGGAAGGGAACCCACCTGCCCAAACGCTCAAACCCTCCACTCGCCTCTAGAGCGGAGGGAACCGCACCACGTACCATGGCAAACTCAAAGATGGAGGACCGCCACCCTTCGCTCTGAAGGAGTTGATGGCTGCCTCTTCGTCGGACGAAGCCGACGACGACAGGGCGACGAGGGACGAGAGACGACGACGACGACGACGACGACGACGACGACGACGACGACGACGACGACGACGACGACCATGACGACGACGACGCCGACGATGACGATCGACGAGAAACGTCGTACGACGACAGCGACGACGACGACGACGACGACGGCGACGACGACGACGACGACGACGACGGCGGCGGCGGCGGCGACGCCGACGACGGCCATCCCCCCCCCCGCACGAAAAACAGAGCCCGCGGGCGCGGGGCGCACTTTCCGAGACGCTGGCGCCCCCAAGGCGCGCAGCCGAACGCGCGGCGCCGGCGCCGCCCTCCCCCCTCGATGCCGCCGCCGCCGCCGCCGCCGCCGCCGTCGTCGTCGTCGTCGTCGTCGTCGTCGTCGTCGTCGTCGTCGTCGTCGTCGTCGTCGTCGTCGTCGTCGTCGTCGTCGTCGTCGTCGTCGTCGTCGTCGTCGTCGTCGTCGTCGTCGTCGTCGTCGTCCCCGTCGTCGTCGGCCGCCTTGCCACCTGGCCGCCTCCGAGTCTACAGCGTGCCTCTCCTCCCGCTCCTCCTCCCCCGCTCCCTCCACTCTCTCCTCTCCCTCCTGCTCCTTGCCTCCAGTGGGTGCGCGCGCCGCACGGCGGGGTCTGGGGGCTCTCGCTTCCCGCCGCCGCTAGGGGGCCACATGCGAACCCTACCCCTACCCCCCACGATTTCTGAGGGGGAGGGTGGGGTTCACTTCGTTCGGGAGCTCTCGAGCGAAGTGAACGAAATCGCGCATGCCCCCTAGCCGCAGCCCTCCCTCCCGGCACGCGCGAGCGTCGCGCGACCGCCGCGTGGCACTGCGATACCCTCTGGGGCTGCTGTTCGTGCGCACGTGCATCTGCGCACTCAGCTTCACTCTCTCTATCTCTCTCTCTCTCTCTCGGTGTCCTCCCTCCCTCCTCTCTCGCCGTGCTGCCGATCCCTCTTCGGGGTGCCTCCTGCCCCTGGCACCCATGTGAACTGTCGCCCTTCACCTGGGTGCTGAGCTCCCCTCCCCCTCCGCCTTCACCTCCCACTCCCCCTCCGAATTCACCTCCCTCCCCCTCGCCGCCGCCCTCCCCCTCGCCGCCACCCCGGCCACTCCCCCCTCCGCCTACGCGACCCCTCCCGCTGCCGCCGTCCTCCCCCTCCCCCCCTTCCCCTCCGCGACCCCTCCCCCTCCTCACAGCCCTCCCCCTCTTCCATCCCCCTCTGCGATCCCTCCCCCTGCTCACCGCCCTCCCCCTCCCCCTACGCGACCCCCCCCACCCAGACTCCCGACGTCACGATTGTTTCATGACGTCGACCCCCAGGTACCTCGACCCCTTTTCCCGGGACCGGCCTCTCGTCCCGCATATCGCTTTCTGGCGGCCCTCCGGGGGCCGGTGAGAGCCCCCGGAGGGCGGAACTAGCGAAAAGCCTCCCGCCGTGATTTGTATTTCTCATGACTCGAGGAGGGGGTCTATTGAGCAGGGACCGACCGCCCCGGCATTCCTATAGTCATACCACGAAATGTTCTTTGAACCCAACAATGTTCTAAGAACAAAACAATGTTCTTTGAACATAAACCCGACGTGTCAAAACAAGACAGCCCTAGCCAGCAATGCTCTAAGAACATTTTTCGTGGGAGCCACAAAAAGTTCTCTCAACACTGCTTGGTGGGGCTATAGGCGAGCCGGGACGCTTCGCCACTGCTTGGGTCTGGCATCCCCCCCCTCCTCCGCCCTGCTCCTCCTGCTCCTCCTCCAGCCCCTCTTTCCTCTTCCTCCCTCGTGCTCGTCCTCGTCCTCGTCCTCGTCCGCGTCCTCCTCCTCCTCCTCTTCCTCCTCCTCCTCCTCCTCCTCTTCCTCCTCCTCCTCCTCCTCCTCCTCCTCCTCCCTCCTCCTCCCTCCTCCGCCCCCCTCCGCAGCCCCCGCCGCCGCCGCGAGGCGCGCGCCGCCCCCGGCGCGCCGCCGCAGGCGGCCGCCCGCGAGAGGCGCCCCGGCCGGCCGGCCTGGCCGCAGGGGCGCGGCGGGGGTCGGGCCGCTTGCCGCCGCCGCTGCCCGCCGACGCCGCCGTCCTCGACGTCGTCGTCGTCGTCGTCGTCGTCCTCGACCTCGTCGTCGTCCTCGTCCTCGTCCTCGTCCTCGTCCTCGTCCTCATCGTCGTCCTCGTCCTCGTCCTCGTCGTTGTCGTCCTCGTCCTCGTCGTCTTCGTCCTCGTTCTCGTCCTCGTCCTCGTCATCCTCGTCGTCGTCGTCGTCGTCGTCCTCGTCGTCGTCGTTCTCGTCCTCGTCCTAGTCATCGAAGATTGGGGAACGGGGGAAGGCAGAGATGGAGGGAGAGGGAGGCAAGGAGGAGGAGGAGAAGGGGAGGAGGAGAGGGACGAGGAATGACGAGAAGGCAAGAGGAAGACGGGAGGAGGATGATAAGGGGGGGAGGAGTAGGAGGAAGGAGGAGTAGGAGGAAGGAGGAGTAGGAGGAAGAGGAAGAGGAAGGAGGAGGAGGAGGGAAAGGGAGGAGGGTAGGGAGAAGTAAAGGGAGGGATGGAGGGAAAGAGGGAGGGAGAATGAAGAGGAGGAGTTCGAACGCTGCAGGCCCCGGGCTGAATGTCCGACCAACAACAAAACAAAGGAGAGGAGGGAGGAGGTGGGAGGAGGAGGAGGAGGAGGAGGTGGGAGGAGGTGGAGGAGGAGGAGGAGGAGTTAAGGTACCCTGAGGAGGAGGAGGAGGAGGAGGAGGAGGAGGAGGAGGAGGAGGAGGAGGAAGAGGAGAGGGAGGGTGAGCCCTTCTGCCGTGCGACTTCCCCAGCGCCCCTGAGCCGGAGCGGCGCACGAGCACCCCAAGAGGCAAACCTCTTCCCATCAGGGTTAGGTCGGGACTGCCCCCCTACAGGGGGATCTTGGATGAAACAAATATTCAACTAACACGCGTAAATATTCAAACACTACTCCAAAAACATATGTGCTAACGGAGTTCCCCACATGAGGATGTTACGGGATTGTCGTTTTCCAAACGGGGCCCTCGCCTGGGCGTCGCGCACATTCGCCTGACAAGTCTTCAACAGCTACTCGGATGGAGGGCGATCGCTTGCAAAGCAGGGCTCTCGTCTTGGCGCAAATCTTCAGCAGCTACACGGCTGGAGGGCGCCCCTTTTTAAAAATGGGGCTCTCGCCGTGGCGCCGCGCACATTCGTCTTCAAAAATCTGCAACAGGCACACCGGTGGAGGGCGGGCCGGATACCCTGCCCGCTCTGGTGGGGCCTCCCTGGAGGGGTGGGAGGGGCACGAAACCTGATGCATAATGTGGTGTGGGGATACCCTGCCCGCTCTGGTGGGGCCTCCCTGGAGGGGTGGGAGGGGCACGAAACCTGATAAATGATATTGTATGGTATGGTACTGTATGGTAGTGCAATATATTGTTATTGTGTGGTGTGGTATGGTATGGTATGTGGTAGGTATGGTATGGTATTGTACGGTAGGTTTGGTATGGTATTGTATGGTATGTGTGGTATGGTATGGTAGTGGATTGTATGGTACGGTAGGTAAGCTATTTCATGGTCGGTATGGTATGGTATTGTATGGTATGTATGGTATTGTTATAGTGTGGTGTGGTACCATGGTAGGTATGGTATGGCACGGAATGGTAGGCATGGTATCGGAGGCGGGCGGCGGGAGGCGGGAGGGAGAAGGAGAGGAAGTTCTGGGAAAACAAGAACCCCACTCAGGATGTGGGGAAAAGACAGCGTCCCCAGACTATGTTCCTACTATTTTCGAATATTCCTCCTGTAGAGGGACACGCCCGACTTAACATCAGGGTGCAAATCTTGTTCCGCCAGGATGTGTTTTGCCCTTCGAGCGCAGCAAGTGTCAGTACATCTGGATCGTACATGCACGGCTCTCTCAGATCTCCAACGACATGGTCTGTTCAATCCCCGCGCTGTCCTCGATCCTGGTCTCTGGGCCCTTCCTTGTATCGGTCCCCGACACCATCAAGAACGGATCCGGGACAGACGCCTGCCCCCAGGGAGGGGGTCGGGACCTCTGTAGCCGCGCACTGAAAACACCACATCGTCGGATGTCCGGGGGCTCAGAACTGACGCGCGCCTCCTCAGATGCCCGCCCACCACACGCTCCCAGCGTGCGGCGGTGCACGTCGAAAACTCATTCGCCTGCTAATGCGGGTCAGCCTTCTGGGGGTCAGAATCAGGGAAGGGCAAGGTGCGGAAAACACATCGTCTCAGGGAAAAAATGGCCTGGACAAAGAACTTCCGGAGGAACTACGCAGGAAGAACACAGGAATTGCACTATCTGCTGAGACAAGGGCGGTCCCGAGCAAAGAGAATAATCCAATGAATTGAGCTTACCTTTTCCTGACCCCCAAGCTTGCCACCGCTCGGACGTCCATTCCCCGTGCATTCGTCGGCTTCGTGCGATTCCTTCTCGCAGAGTGACCCAGGATGCATCCTCGATGGTCACTGCCGGGGAAAGATGCACACGCCCGAGCGATGCCGGGCAAGAGGCGGGCCCCTCGTCAGCAGGCGAAGGAGACCTGGGCACGCGAGGAAGTGGCGCACCCGCCGCCGGAAGGGGCCTACAGCACAGATCGTATACTCAAGGGCAGTCCAGCACGGCCCGGGGCGCAGCCCGGGCTCTCCAAGACAGGGGGGGCGCGCAGATCACAGGGCGAGGATGCTGCATGGGGTGGAGAGGGGGCGGCGAGATGGGAGATAAAGAGAGAGAGAGAGAGAGAGAGAGCTAGAGAGATCGATGCACACTCAGGAGAGAGTGGAAGCAGCAAGAAAGAGAGAGAGAGAGGGAGAGAGAGGAAAGAGGGAGAGAGAGAGAGAGAGAGGGAGAGAGAAGAGAGAGAGAGAGTGAAGAGAGAGAGAGAGAGAGAAAGAGAGAGAGAGAAAAAAAAGGAGGGAGTGAAAACAGAGAGAGAGAGAGTATAGAGAGATAGAGAGAGGGAGAGAGAGAGAGAGAGTAGAGATAATGGAGAGAGAGAGAGAGAGAAAGAGACAGGGAGTGGAGAGAAAAGAGTGGAGAGAGACAGAGACAGAGAGAGAGAGAGGAGGCCCCCCAGCCCCCCGACCAACCCGAGGGCCCCGACGCGGCCCCCAGATGCGCGGGCGCGGGGGCCAACGGCCGCGCTCGCCCGGGGCGGGCGCGGTGCGGGGTGCGCGCGGCGTTCGAGGTCGGGGATCGACTTGATTTGCCCGTCCAATCTCCACGCTACTCCTCCCTTCTCCTCCCTCCTCCTCCTTCTCCTCCTCCTCCTCCTCCTCCCTCCTCCTCCTCCTCCTCCTCCTCCTCCTCCTCCTCCTCCTCATCCTCCTCCTCCTCCTCCCTCTCCTCCTCGCCTCCTCCTCGTCATCATCATCTTCCATGGCCTCCGTCTCCGCCCACTTCGTCGCCGACGTCGTGGTCCTCTTCAGGGTCGGCGGCACTGGCCGTCAGGCCTTCGCAATCTACGTGGGCGAGTTCGGAAACCCTGAACAAAAGTTGCTTCCATCTCTGGGCAGCACATCTTTCGCTTCTGCCGCCTTCGCCGGCTTCCGCCGGCGGAGGCGGCCTCGCCTTACTTCCGCCGCCCATCCGCCGCCCTCCGCCGCGGAAGAGAGCGGCAACTCCTTCGACCCTCGAAGGCAAGGCCCTTCCTGGAATGCCCCACGTAGAAATGCGCACGGTGTTCGTAGATCTGCGAACACTATGCGCATTTGTTGCCACACTCGACGAGAAGATCAAGTTTGGGGTAAATCAATTCTGCATTCGATTCCCTACTCGGGGTGCGTGGGCTCCGCTCGAGCTCACCAGACGATCTCGTCCTCTGGGTCGAAGTCCTCCTCGATGCCTCCAGACTCCTCTTCGCCATGAGGGAAGAAGCACAGGGGAAAACCCATAAGCGAATCGATAACTCGGAGCGGCGATCGAAAGGAATCGGATCGGCGGAAATCGGCAGCCCAGTCGGGAGGAGTCGAATCGGCGGAAATCGGCAGGCTGGGTAAGGGCTCGGTTAAGATATCGGGATTCACATCGGAATCCGACGTCGCATCGAATCGGAATCGGAAGCCATCGAAATCGCATCGAGTCGGACCAGAGCAGTCGAAACGAGCCCGGAAGCCGGCCCCGCATGTGATGCCCCAGACCCCCGACGTCATGATTTGTTCAGGACGTCGAACCCCACAGGGGTCTCTACTCATTCCCCGGGACCGGTTTTTCATCCCGAGTCGTTTTTTGACGGTCCCGCGGCCCGGTGAGGGCCCCCAGAGGCCGAAAATATGCTCGGCCAGGGCAGGAAGGATGCGCGGTGAGGATGCAAGGGCCTTGG